GATTATATATGAATAATATTGTAATTTGTTTTCCTTAGTAGTTGGCTTCTCATTAACATTCAAAACCTTTTCTCCACCTTATACGTTTTATTTCTTATCTCAAGCCTTTCCTAACAAATTCAGTCTTGGTATGTATTTGATCCTTTCAGTTTTGTAATTGACGTTGGATTGTTTTTCTATTCTTAAGTGCCATTTTCCCAATTAATTGAAGCTATATTGCATTTGTATATGTGGTCATCATTACATCTATAGGTTCCCCAATTGAGCAACTTAGGTGTTGAATTATCAACTGGGTACACCTACCTCTGGTAAATTTAGATGCAGCATGATGTATTGGTGTTTGTTTATATAGGCCAATCTTATTCCTTGTGGCATGATCATTTTTTAGCAGTCAATTACTTTGAACAAAGGCATTTTCCACACTTTTTTGGTTAAGTATAGGATACTCTTTTTCTTGATCAGAAAGAGCACTGCTTGGTACTTCATGATTCCTTCTGTATATTCTGTTCTTATGTTTATTGTAATAATGTTCTCTCTCTGCTTCAATCTTATGGGATATTTTAATATTTGATTTTCTTAGAATGAAATTCAGTTTGAATAGGACCTCATGATGTTTTTCCCTTATGAAAATGCTTAAAATTAAGAAATGGTTCAGTGAAGGTTGAATGGTAAAATGGCAGTGATATTCTTATTTTATATTTCTTGTCTGTGTATATGTTTTTTCTCTGTTTGTCTGTAAATTGGAATAATTAATATACCCAGTTGTTTATTTGCAGGTTAAAGGAATGATAACTGATTTTGGGGAGGATATGCACTGCCAGTTTCTTGAAATTCTTCGCATCTTACTGGATCCATACACATTGTCAGGAGCTCAGGTTCCTATCTTGATTTTCATTTCCATAGGTTTTGTTATATGTAAAGTTAAGGATTTTATCCAGTAAATGAAAATTCTCTTTGAATTTTTCTTTTTGATCAGCAAAATTCTTTTTGAATTTGAGCTCAACTGAATATGAAACTTGTTTGGGTGGTCACATGAATTGTTTTCATCCATGGTCTCCCAGTTTATGGTTATGTATTTTTTTAACTACTTCCCACCCCTTTTTAGCATCATCTTTGTGTCAAGTCATTTTATCCCATAAAAATGTGGTGCCATTCTTTATTTGGTCATAGAAAAACTCTAGCTTGTATTAAATTCAGGCTTCGTTCAAGAGTGGAGATTTGCAAACAAGCTGAAGTGGGTTGTCTTCTGCACAATGCTGGTCTCTATACATGAAATGTAGAGTCATGGAGTGCATGGAATAATGAGAACAGCACTAAGGGAATTGAGTCTGAGCTGAACTCAGAACTTTCTGAGTGTAACTAGCCTGATAGAACTTTAGCAGGCTTGTCTTGTTTATTTTTGTAGATATCAAATCTTAGAGATTATAATTTTTTAATTACATAACAGGAGGTAACCCTCTCCCAATCCTTTGCTCACTACACCCATATACCATATGTTTTGAACCTAGGGGCCTATAACTTCCAAAGGAACTTATCACTTGGCCACCAGGTCCTTTCCCTGAGAGTTGGCATTGAGAGAAACTGAGGCGCATATTTATTTATTTATTTATTATTGTGTAACTTTGATGCATCATATATTTTGTCCACTTTGCAACATATTGAAATTTATTTATGCAGGTGTAAAATTTGAATGTTGATTTCTGTTATATTATATATATCTTCTGATTGTTGGAAAAACTTGTCACTTGAACTTTCATGTAAGATTTAATTTCTTTTCTCCACATTGGTTTGGATTTAATTATGTTTCAGTACACTGTTTCATTGGGTGACCGATTCCCTGTTTGTTTTTGTTGCAGAAAGACACTATTATTGACATTTTCTATGAGAAGCATTTGGGTCAGCTAATTGATGTCATAACAGTGTCATGTTCACCTGATGGGGTTGCACATCCAATGAATAAATCTGTGGACAGTGCAGGAATTGTTGAAATTCCAAATAGTGCAAAGCCTGAAATACTGTCAAACATATGTGAATTGCTGTGCTTTTGTGTTGTACACCATCCTAGTAAAATAAAGTAATCTACTGGATGATTAATTTGCTGTCATCTAAAACTTAATTCCCGACTGCCAATAATCTAAGATGTGTACATGGGGTTTTCTTCATTGTTTGCAGGAGTACTTTTCTCCTTAGCAATGTTATAGACAGAATTTTGTTGCTGACGAGGAGAAGGGAAAATTACCTTGTAGTTGCTGCTGTTCGTTTTGTCCGCACCATTCTTGCATGCCATGTAAGTGGATCCTGTTAATGTGTTTTGTGTGGTCAAAATCATATGATTTTCTTTTAACATTGAGGTGCAGGGATAGACTTTTTGCTCACCATGGGCAGATCTTTTCTGTCGCTGGATTGCTTACCATAGTTTGTGTGGATTCAGTTGCTATATTCCAAGCAATTGTTTTTCTTTTCTGAATTTTTTTGCTAACTGTAGTGGATGAATGCTTTTTACCTCTATGTTATCTGAGTTTCTTTTACATTCTGTAGCCTGCTCTGGCTGTGCTTTTTTTGATTTTTCCTAATTATTGTCTTGATAATAGGAGAGTATCAATCTCATAGTAAATTGTAATTAGGCATTTATATCCACCTTTTGGCCTCTTTTTTTGCCCCATGAACATCTATTGATTGTAATTTTTAGGGCTGCACATTTTGTCACCATTGAAGTTAATTTGTTCTTTGCAGGAGGAACAGTTGATGAATCATTTTGTTAAGAACAACCTTCTCAAACCAATTATTGATGCCTTCATTGCAAATGGGGACCGGTATAATTTGCTCAACTCTGCAGTTCTAGAACTTCTAGAATATATCCGCAAGGTGGCTACTTTGTCAAACTTGTTCTTTTTGCATCATAGAGTTTATTAGGAAGCTAATGTCTGCTTCTAACATTTTCGAATGCAGGAAAACCTCAAGCCATTGCTTAAATATATAATTGATTCTTTTTGGAATCAGTTGGTCAAGTTTGAGTATTTGGCTTCTATTCAAGCACTAAAAGTTAAATATGAGCAGGTATTCTCTAGCTCCTTTTATTTTTTATTTTTTATTTTTTCACAAACTTCATAGTTTAGATATTGATTTCTTGATGCCAACTGGTCTTTTTTGCAGTTGTTGGAAAATTGTGGAACAAGAAATAATGCTAATGCTGTGGACCCAAGAAATAAAATTGATGAACGTGGACTGGATAAAGAAGAGGAAGATTATTTCAATGAGGATAGGTATGCATTTATTCATTGACATATAAAGCTGAAACTTTTCCTGGGTCTTTTTCTCCTACACTTACTGAATATGCCGCATAAGCAGTGATGGAGAAGATACAGCATCTGCATCACATACTGAGAAAGTACAATCTCAGCCTGTTTTGTCCAATGGAGTTGCTGCAAGTCACACATCATTAAGGTTTTTTAGTTACCTTGTTCTAGTTGATCATGGAAACACACTGTGCATTTGATGTGTAATTCACATCTTTGATTCTGATTTTGATTTTGCAGCTCAAGATCTGGTGGACTTGTTGACTATGAAGATGACGATGATGATGAGGACTACAAACCACCTCCTAAGAAACAAACAGAATCCTTAGATGAAGATGAAGGAATTATGGAGTCCCTCAAGTTGAAGCGTAAGTTTGCTTCTAAGGACAAGGAGCCTGAGCTTGCCAAGAAACAACGATTGGGCAAAAACCCAAAATCAAAGGATGGTGTCTTTGCTGCCTTGTGTTCAACACTAAGCCAGGCAGTGATTCCCAGTAAGAAAACATCGAATGCCATTCATGTATCATCTCGCACATCGCATGGGAATAGGGGCCTGGTAGAGGAAATTCATCAAGAGAGAGAATCTGGCAATCCTGGAATTAGTTCTGATAGGAACACTGGTTCAGATGAGGAGAAGCAGAGAGGGAAGGAACCTCCTGTTTCAAGAAACTGTTCTGATTGCTTGCATAGCACTTCTGACAATAGGCAGCTAGGTGGAGAGGACTGTCCTTTAATACCACCACAATCCTCACCAGAAATGGCTGTAAATGGATCTTAATTTTATTTCTGAGAATCATTTTGAGCAGGATAACTTGTTTTCTTTTATGTTTTATTCAACTCAAGGATGTGCTTGGTACCAGTTCAATCCTGGCCTATTGAAGAAACAATCAACAAAAATGGAATTGAATGCAGAGAAGCTGGATTGGTTTTTCATCATCAGCATGGGGTGAGGATACCGTACCGCACCTGAGGGCAGGAAGAAGTCACTACCAGTCTTACTCCTATGCCCATTCGACCAGGCCAGTCTGACGCTTTGAGCTGAGTAAACTGTTGAATCTGTAAAACATTCTTGTTTTGTCTAATTCTGTCCTCTTGATCATTCTTTCTTTTCTTTACCCATTTTCTTGTTTTGCCTCATTTTATAACTGTGAACTGAACAATATGATAGAAAGGGCATGATTCAAATATAATGCCCTGCATAGTGTCCCTATGTTATTTCAGTTTTGTGGTGGTTGTGATTGTGGGTGTCATAGAGAAGGAAAAGGAAAAGGTGTAGAAGTTGGTTAGCAAGGCCAATTTTTCTCACTGTTGCTGAGACTTAAAAATTTATAGACCCCTGTAAATTACAACTTTGTTGTTGCTCTGCATATTTTCATTGAATCAGCAATGTCAATTCTTTCCAAAGCTTTATTTTGGGTATTTCCTGTTGTCCGTCGGTTCTTTTCCTTTCTCTTCTCCCTTTATTTTTTTTGGTGTTCTGTGGGATGTGAGGATACTTCTTGATCCCGTGGAAGTCTCAAGATAGAAGAATTATTGGGGTTAAAAAAATATATTTACATATAAGAAAGAAATTTTACGTTGCGTGTATGTTACTCGCGTTT